TCCATTGTTTTGTTAGTATGTTTAAACAGCAAAGTAGTCGGCCTCAATTTATTTATTTTTCTTTTTAAAAAATTTACTTCTACAAAAATTGTGTATACAATTGTAGTGTGCGTAACCAGGAACAGTAGTGAATGGACAATTGGCAAGCTTTCACTAATGATACTAGTCCAGCAATTAATTTACTGTTACTTCATGACAATGCACATTTCATTTTACATAAAGCTGACTTATCCATTATAACTCAAGTCGTTAATAGCTGCTGTCTTGGGTAACTATAAATTAAAAATACTGTGTGTATAATGACAACAGTATATGTAATAGTAATAATTTGGCTGCTGTCACTATACTCACAATATTTATTAATACAACAATCACTACTCATTCTCATTACTCTACAGCAGCGCAGCAGCATTATAAGCTATTGCTTGATAATCTATTGCTAACAAACCAATGGCAGACTCACCAGCTACTGGCCTACCTTTAAAACAAGAAACAGTTACAAGGAAAGAGGAGGAGAGAGAGAAAGAAACAAATATTGATCATGTTTATGAAAAGCCAGACATCATAATAGATTCAGAGGACAAAGAGAAGTATATATATGAACAAGTGGAGGATAAGAAGAAAGATGTAACTGTCAAAGAAACAGTGAAGTACGTATCTGTAAAGGAGGAGGAGGAGAGTTTGACAGAAGAGGGGGCCATAGGTTACAAGGTAAAGAAGAAGAAAATCGTTGAGGTTCATAAATCAAAAAAGGAGAAGAAAAAGAAGAATTTATTTAAAAAAGGGCTCACGAGCATAAAAGATAATATCAAAGGTTTTTTAAAGAGTGGTACACTGAATAAGCTCCAGGTTGGACTCCAGGCAGTTACTCTGTTAGCATTTGTTTCACTGACTGGTCTCTCTGGTAAGATACTGCAACAAACTTCACAAGAACCGGTTGCTAGTGATATGAACACATCATCAAGTGTAATGGAGTTTGCTCAAGAAGTCAATGCTGCAATAGAGCAAGCACTGGGGAATGGTAATGTTACTAATAAAGCATTGGCAGAGCTAGCAAATCAAGTAATAGCAGCCAATATGGAGCTCAATGAACAAACCAATGATATAATCAATGCAACACAGAGGACTGGTGATAATATGGATCGGGTTGAAGGTTTGGTGCTTGAACAAGTTGAAGTATCTCGAAATAAGTCACTCGTCCTCAATGAGCTGATTAAATCAACAGTTGATGCTATGAATAGACTCAACAACATAACAGCCACACTGTCTAATATCAGTAACAACAGTGCATCATCTACTCAAGTGATCAGTGATCTATTAATGGTTGTTAATGAATTGGCTAAAATACAAAACATGACAGATCAATTGGTAAAGGAGCCTATGTCTTGTAAAGAGATCAAGTTAAGGTTACCAAACAGCATCACTGGCTACTACTTTATAAATAATCAAACCATTTACTGTAATATGGAGGAGCTGTGTAGTTCAGGAGGAGGATGGACAAGACTAGGCTACCTGGATATGACTGATGCTACACAGAACTGTCCTTCTGGGTTTAGACTATATCCTACAGATGATATTAGAGCTTGTGGTAGACCAGCAACAAACAGTGGTAGCTGTGCATCAGTTCAGTTCCCATCTAATGGTATCAGTTATTCTCAGATATGTGGTAGAGTAACAGGATATCAAGTTGGTCATCCTGATGCATCACACATACCAACAGCTCAAGATAGAAATGACATCAATTCTCCTTACGTTGATGGTGTTAGTATCACTCGTGGGTCTCCTCGTAAACATGTTTGGACACTAATGGCTGGACAGTCGGAAAAACGAAACACTAATACAAATTGTCCATGTAATTTTGGCAGTAATGTTAACGTACAATCGATAGTTGGGAGCCATTATTACTGTGAATCTGGTAATCCAACAGAACAAATTGCAGATCAAGTTTTATATCCAATGGATCCTCTATGGGATGGTAATGATTGTCATTCTCTTGAAGCTTCTTGTTGTGATGGTCTCCCATGGTTTCACAGAATATTTAATGCCCTCACTACTGACTACATTGAGTTGAGGGCGTGCGATAATGCAGCAACCACTATTGAAGATGCCATTGTTAGCCTTTATGAGATATATGTACAGTAACTGAAGCAGAAAAAACACTCAAACATATTATCATTAATACATACATGCATTATGCATACATTTATATATGCATGTGTGCATTACTGTAGATTGGCATTCATTAGTTGTAGTGCCAAACAAAAAGTTAATTACTTTACTAATTTGGCTCACTTTCCATAGAAGTTGTAGTATAATATAGCCTATTGTTGTAATATTTACTGCCAATATCACATTTGTTCTGTTAGCTTCTTGAATAGGCTGTCTGCTTGTATTTTTATTAATAACTGTGACTTTGCTGCTGTTGGTGGCATACAATTTAAATAAGAATAAAATTAATAGAGCAATTAATCAAATATGGCAAAATAGCTTTAGTGTAGTATAAAGTTAATAAAACAGCATTATTATTATTATTATCTCAGCCAGCAAAAAGAGTAAAAGTATTATACTATAAATCAAATATGATAATTATAATGGATCAGCTAGTACAAGAGGGCGTTCATATTTATTTATTTGACGTAGAACTCATAGGTCTTAATGAGTGTGTCCTCGTTGTTGTAAACACCTTCATCTCCACAGATCCTCAACTCCAGTCCAAGGCTTGACGACGTGTTACCAAAGTCCCTATGGAACCAAGGAAGCATGGAAGAAGTACAGCAAGGAGCTTCATTGCTACTGCAGCCTTGACCGTCCCATAACGGATCGTTACCATACACCCGAACTTGAGTTCCCCAGTTAGGGTTACCTGACTCACAGTAGTAGTTCTGGCCTACAAATGATTGGAGGGATTGGGTGCTAGTGCTGGAGCAAGGGCAAATGTAATCAGTTGCACCAGCTCTTTGTGTATAGCCGGCCATGAAACTCCATATATGTTCCCTGGGGTACCCACGAGTGATACTGACTCCATCGGTGTAATAAGAATCGATGTTGTAATGATTAGTACTAATGGCATTAGCATCAGGGCTACCAAACTGATAACCAATAACTTTACCACATATTTGAGTGTAGTTGATGCCATTGGTAGGAAACTGTATTGGAGTGCTGCAGCTGGGGGCCCAACTGTTTCGTCCACAAGCTCTAACTCCTCTTCCAGTATCAACAAAATATCGGAGTCCAGATGGGCAGGTCTGTGAAAGGTCAGTCATGTCGAGGTAACCAATCCTTGTCCATCCTCCTCCAGAGCCACAAAGTGTGTCCATGTTGCAGTAAAGGTTCCGACTGTTAACATGATAGTATCCACTGGGACCGTTCGGAAGAACTTGCTTGATCTGGCTACAGGAAACTGGTGTTATTGAGTTAAAAAGAGCTGAAGCATTTTGAAGCTCTAGCAGTTCTTCTACGCCTATTAATATATCATCAACCACTCCAGCAGCAGTTTCAGTGGTTCCCTTAATGTTACTGACTGTGCTCGATATTCCTTGTAAGCTAAGACTGTTTTCATCTGCTTTGTCCATCACTTGGCCTAGAGTGTCACTGATGTTTTGAACTGTGACTGACTGATCGTTTGTGACACTGTGGATATCACTCACTTTAGTAGCAGTGTCTTGGGCTGTATTTGAGACCTGGTTTAACTGACCTTGTAAAATCTGGCCTAGTTGCATTAGGAGGCTGCTGTAATTCTGACCAGCTTCTAGATCAATGTTAGTGTAGTTGACTATACCATCTACTTTCATTGTTGTGTTTTGTAGCATGTAGAGCATTTGCATTAGCTTTGCATCCACCATTTGGTTCCAAGCTGAGCTACCATCCCTTGTCATGTTAATGAGAGTATCCAATTTGCTTGATAACTGAGGGCCAAAGTGTGCACTGCAGTTACATTCAGGCCCTCCTACACCAGCAGTACTGCCTCCAGTACTAGCTCCAGTGCTAGCTCCAGTACTATCACACATATCTACTGTATTCAAGTGTGTTAGTGTAACACCATTGATGCCCAGTAGTATTATAAGGATAAGGATTATGAAGACTTGTATACCAATGATACAGAACAGGCCTTTCCTTCCAGCTGGGACAGAATCGTGTATCTGCAAGTTAGCTACAGGTCGTTGAGGAAATTCATCTTTTCCATCATACTGGTCAACCTCATAAAGGTGCTTACTATCATCTTCCTCCATTTCTGATTAATCTTTGGTAGCTAAGACACGCAAAAGAGCCAGTAGTATAGGTAAATAGTGCAACTAAGGGTGGGCTGCTGCTGCTGCAGTAGAAAGGGGAGGATAAGATGTGATTCATTAGCAGTAATGCTAATTAGACTGGGTCTCATGACAGCTCAAATGTCATTCATTAGTATCATGAGATGAGCATGCAGCCTCCTTTTTGCAGTATCAGGTATTTGGGACAATGTCAAGTGCAGTTATACTTGGTGATTTATGTTGCATAATGTTAAACAAACACTTCACATGAATTATGCAGTATAGTACATAACTCTGTTAGAATCAGTTAAATGTAGTGTGTATGTTCAATTTTTGAATATTCTCTCCCCAAAATCCCTGTACTACACACAGGGACTTTAGTTCAATTTGGAGCAGCTTCAAAAATTTTACCAAAATTAAAAAAATTCATTTTTATAATTCTATTTGATATGTATACAAGTCCTTATGCCATGTAAAATTGGATTTTTAACGAATTTTTCAAAGTGCTCAAAAATCAGATCAAAGTCCCTGTACTATAGTACAGGAATTTTGGCCAAATTTGTAAAAAAATCCAATCTTGTTTGGAATCAGCTAAAACCTTCTGTACATTACAAGTACATGTACAGCTATGTATTATAAAATTAGCATTGTCTCCTAATATTAAATAACCTCTTGGCCAAGTTTTGGGTGTGTCAGTGATGAATACTTACCATCAGTCTGTACAGTAAGACTATGAATGTAATAAACATATTGTTACACCTCTTCCATTTAGACAATAAACAAGACAGCAATATACAACTAGAGCTATACAGTTTCTATCTTCACAATGGAGGACACTGCAGACAACAAGAATCTTTATGAAGTCAGTGAGTATGATGGAAAGGATGACTTCCCTCATCAACCCATCAGTAACATTGAAATACATGATAGCATCACAACTGGAAGGAAAGGCCTGCTTGTTCTGGTAGGCATTCAAGCCTTCATAATCCTTATCCTTATAATACTACTGGGTATCAATGGTGTTACACTAACACACTTGAATACAGTAGATATGTGTGATAGTACTGGAGCTAGTACTGGAGCTAGTACTGGTGGTCTTGGAAACACAGCAACTGATAATGCAACTGCTCAAATACTTGACATTACCAGACGCATCCTTAGCTACAAGGCCAATGATACAATGTATGCTCAAAGCAGTGCTAGTATGCTTCAAGGTCTCAGTGCTAATGTGAGCCAACTCTCCCAGCAGTTGGGGACCACTGATGATAAGATTGATGATATCAGGAGCATGGGCTATGAGCAAATGGGTCTCTTCCTTAACATGTCTGACTATCTTTATCAAGTACTTCAGACAACAGGACAGTCTGCTCAAAGACTAGTGAACATTGTCAATACTCTCTCTAATATCAAGGAGACTGCTACTACTTCTTCTGCAGTAACTGATGATATACTAGTCATAGTTGAGGAACTATTAACACTGCAGAATGCTTCTTCTATCTTTAACTCTATAACACCAGTTGCCTGTAAGGATATTAAGGCAGTCCTACCTAACAGTCCTTCTGGTTACTATCACGTTAACAGTCGCAATATTTACTGTAACATGGATGAGCTCTGTGGTTCAGGAGGAGGATGGACAAGACTAGGCTATCTGGATATGACCGACGCTTCTCAAAGCTGTCCTGCTGGGTTTAGACTGTATCAAGTTGGAGGAGTCAGAGCTTGTGGTAGACCAGTAACAAACAGTGGTAGTACTGTATCAGTTAGCTTCCCAACTAACGGTATCAAATATACACAGATTTGTGGGCGAGTAACAGGATACCAGTATTGCTCAACTGATGCATTTTATCAACAAATTGACATCAATTCTCCTTATGTTGATGGTGTTAGTATCACTCGTGGGTCTCCTCGTGAACATGTCTGGTCATTTGCATCAGGTGTTTCTGATACCCACACTAACCATGCACCTCTAATGTGTCCCTGTGCTACTGGGAGCACACAAAACGTCCCTGCATTCATTGGCCAGCATTACTTTTGTGAGTCCGGAAATCACAACAGCTGGTGGAGCCAAGTCCTTTACACATCAGATCCACTCTGGGATGGTCAAGGTTGTGGAGTATATGAGGGTCCATGCTGTGCTGCTCCTGGTCTCCCATGGTTTCACAGAGACTATGGTACTAACTCCACTAGTTATGATATTGAGTTGAGGGTCTGTGGTAACCAGGAGACCAATGATGAAGATAGTCCTGTCAGCTATTATGAGATATACGTCAAGTGAAGAGTATTAAAACTAGATACATTGTAAATCCTGCATTTTACATTTTTTTGCTGCTTAATTTTCTTTTTTGCTTATTGATGTTTGTTCCATCTGCATTTTTAAATTTTTTGGAATCTTTTTTTAAATAGAAGTAATTATTTCAGAAGGAACTGAATGTACAATGAATCACTATCATAAGTTATTGTGTACAAGCATTTTTGTATTCCTTATGATTCTCATTAGTACAGTTCCAAAAAACAAATAGTGAATCTCATAAAAAAATTACACCCCATACTAAGAGCTATAAGCTGCCATACAGTATAGGGAGGCTATCCTACAGTCATGGAGGAAGATGATACAAAGAACATATATGAGGTTGAGCAAGATTACAATGGAAAGGATGAATTTCCTCAACGACCAATAGCTAATTTACAGATACACGATAGCATAGGCCCAGGAAAGCGCTCTTTCTACATATTGCTGGGTATACAAGTTGTTCTGATTCTAATTCTTATAATAATCCTTGGGCTGGTTGGAGTGACACTGACACACTTGAACACAGTTGATATATGTGAAAACCCAGCAAGTACAGGAGCTACTACTGGGGGAGTTGTTGGCGGAAATGATAACACTTCTGCTCAGATCCTTGATGTTACCAGACGCATCCTTAGCTACAAGGCCAATGATACAATGTATGCTCAAAGCAGTGCTAGTATGCTTCAAGGCCTCAGTGCTAATGTGAGCCAACTCTCCCAGCAGTTGGGGAGCACTGATGATAAGATTGATGATATTAGGAACATGGGCAATGAGCAAATGGGTCTCTTCCTTAACATGTCTGACTATCTTTATCAAGTACTTCAGACAACAGGACAGTCTGCTCAAAGGCTTGTTAACATTGTCAATACTCTCTCTAATATTAAAGACACTGCTACCTCTTCTTCTGCAGTGACTCATGATATACTAGTCATAGTTCAAGAGTTGCTACAGTTACAGAATGCTTCTTCTCTGTTCAACTCCATCACACCAGTCTCTTGTAAAGATATCAAGGCAGTCCTACCTAACAGTCCTTCTGGTTGGTATCATGTTAACAATCGCAACATTTACTGTAATATGGACACACTCTGTAATGCTACTGGAGGATGGACAAGACTAGCATATCTGGATATGACTGATGCTGCCCAGGATTGCCCTGATGGCTTTAGATTGTACCAGCAGTCAGGAGTTAGAGCTTGTGGTAGGCCTCATAGTGGAGTTGCAAGCTCCGTATCAGTAAAGTTCCCATCTAATGGTATCAGCTATTCTGAAGTCTGTGGTAGAGTAGTAGGATATCAATATCGCTCAACTGATGGACTGGCACCTGGATTTGGAGGAGGACACTTGGATATCAACTCGTTTTACGTTGATGGTGTTAGTATCACTCACGGTTATCCTCGTGAACATGTCTGGACACTAGTATCTAGTGTCACTGATACATACTCTAGTTTTCCATCACTAATGTGCGCATGTGCAACTGGTAGCTCTCAATCTGTCCAGCCATTCATTGGAAATCATTATTTCTGTGAGTCTGGTAATCACGCTAATGGTTGGTCCTCTACTCTCTACACATCTGATCCACTCTGGGATGGTAAAGGTTGTGGACCGGTTGAGGGTGTTTGTTGTGCTGCTCCTGGTCTCCCGTGGTTCTATAGGAACTTTGGTACTAATTCCACTACTGATTATATGGAGTTGAGGGTCTGTGGTGACCAAAGTACTGCTGATGAAGATAACGCTGTTAGCTTTTATGAGATATATGTTAAATAAAAAACTGATTTTACCCACCCCCTTTAAACATTATAATTTATAGCTATTATTCTTAGATGTATTCCCTTTTCCAAGTGTTATTCTTTATTATGTTGATAGGACTGCTTTGACTTTGAATAAAGATAATAAACTCAATCAATGATATAGCTCCAATTACAAATTATGAATCTCATATAAAGTTACACCCTTTATTTAGCAACAGAAGGGCATCACATCAATACAAAGAAGGCTAGCACTTCTCTTATTTGCAGTCATGGAGGTTGATGATAACAAGAACCTTTATGAGATTGAGCAGGAATATGATGGAAAGGATGACTTCCCTCAACAACCAATAGCTAATCTACAGATACACGATACTGTCCCAACTGGAAGGAAAGGTCTATTGATTTTACTGTGTATACAAGCCTTCATAATCCTTATCCTTATAATACTACTGGGTATCAATGGTGTTACACTGTCACAGTTGAATACAGATGATACTTCTTCAGCTAATACTGGTGCTGTAGATGGTACTAGTACTACTAGTGATTTTTGCTCAGAAATTCTTCAAGTTCTAGCTAACAATACAGCTAGGCAGCTATTGCAAGCCCAAGAACACACTGATATGCTTCAAAGTATCAAAAGTCTTAATGGTAGCATCAGTCAAGTCTCACAGCAGTTGGGAAGTAAAGTTGATGATATGAGATCAGTGGTTGATGAGCACCTGGTAGACACACTCAATATGTCTGATGTTTTGGATCAAGTGAAGCAGACAACAGGGCAGTCTGCTCAAAGGCTCGTAAACATTGTCAATACTCTCTCTAATCTACAAGACACCTGTACCTCTACTGCTGGAGTGGCTGATGATATACTACTAATAGCACAAGAACTATTAGTACTACACAATGACTCAACTGCTTTACCTACCTCTTGTAAGCAGTTACAAGAACAACAACCTAGCAGTCCATCAGGTTATTATATACTGGCAGGTACTAATGGAACATTTGCTACATACTGTAATATGGGAACATTGTGTGGTTCAGCAGGAGCATGGACAAGACTAGCATATCTGGATATGACTGATGCTACAGTGAACTGTCCTTCTGGGTTTAGACTGTACCAGTCAGGAGGAGTTAGAGCTTGTGGTAGATATAACAGTGGTCCTGGCTGTGTATCAGTTCAGTTCCCATCTAATGGTATCAGTTATTCTCAGATATGTGGTAGAGTAACAGGATATCAATATCATTCAACAGATGCATTTGATGGATCAACTAATGACCTCAATTCTTATTATGTTGAAGGTGTTAGTATCACTCGTGGGTCTCCTCGTCAACATGTCTGGACACTAGCAAATGGTTTAACTGATTCTTATAACAACCATCCATATTGGATATGTCCATGTGCAACAGGGAGCTCCCAGTCTGTCCCATCTTTTGTAGGAAACCATTATTTCTGTGAGTCTGGTAATCAAGCTTCTACTTGGACTAATGTTCTCTACACATCTGATCCACTCTGGGATGGTCAAGGTTGTGGTTCTCTTGAAGCTACTTGCTGCTCTGCTCCAGGGCTACCATGGTTTCACAGAGACTATGGTAGCACTACCACTACTGACTATATTGAGTTGAGGGTCTGTGCTGATCAGCATAATTCTAATGAAGACACTCCAGTTGGCTTCTATGAGATTTATGTGAAGTAGTCACATAAATTTGCTTCTTACTAACTTTCTGACTTAGATATTGCAATTTTGTTATTATATACTAGTACTTTATTTTTTCTTGCAACAGTAGTTAAAACCTAATATGCTATTCTAAAATTTGTGGTTAGTATATTCTATGAATCAGAAACAGCAACTTTTCTGTTTGCATAAGTATGCTTCTTGTACTCTTCAAGAGCTCTAGTTAATATTAATGTAACAAACCGACTTCAATGAATAAGCCTTCTTTTTCTAAATGTTTACCCTTTTTATTATGCTTATAATGCTGTTTTTAAAAGTCATTGCAGTTCCAAGAATTATGAATCTCATTTCTAAGACTATATCTCATTATTCAGCAACAGTAAGTTGTTATACCTATGGATCTGTAAAATTCTCTCTTTCTCATTGTGATGGAAGTTAATGATGACAACAAGCATCTTAAGGAAGAACATGATGAAAAGGATGTCCTCCCTCAACAACCAATGAAGAGACATGATACTGTTTCAGTTAGAAGGAAAGCTCTCTTTGTTCTTTTTGGCATCATAATTCTTCTTATAATAATTGCTTTGAAAGATCCTCCTGACTTCAATGAATGGTCTGTAATGGTGTTTTACCAGAATACTGTTCAACTATTATGCTGCAGTTACCCTGATATCCCAGTATTTGAGTTTATTGACATATGTCAGTTTCTAGCACCAGGAACTTGCTTCTAAGAATTAAAGTTGTAGCTACTCTGGCTGATGGCTATGCTTTCTTAATTCATCTATATTTGTGTTGTTAGATTCAAGTTTATCTTGAAACTATAGATTGATTTGATTTCCTGTTAAAATATTGTTGTCTACTCATATTTTTCCTTTTTATAATGATTTAACACTCAATTCTGCATCTCTCAAAAGCATTAACTGCATTATGGCAGAGAAAATGGAGTGACAGCTTTATGACAGTGCTGAGATGGTCAAGATTGTGGAATCTCTGGACAGGTGCTACTTGCATGTGCACTCCAGGCATATTACATGGAGCTGAGAGTTGTGGTGACCAAAGTACTGTTGATAAAGATATTAATTAAACACATGAAGCACACATGTCTAACATTATGCTATAGACAATATTGAGAAAGTATTCATAAGTAGATAGTTCCAATTGCAAATTATGAATCTCAGTATAAAGTTACACCTCTTTATTCTGCAATAGAAGGTTGTTATACCACTGCTAGTCCAAAGAAGACTATTTCCTTATCTGCAGCCATGGAGGTTGATAGTAACAAGCACCTTTATGAGATTGACCAGTATGATGGAAAGGATGACTTCCCTCAGCAACCAATAGCTAATCTTCAGATACACGATTCTGTCCCAGCTGGAAGGAAAAGCTTCTATTGTATCATTGGCATACAAGCCTTCATAATCCTTATCCTTATAATACTACTGGGTATCAATGGTGTTACACTAACACACTTGAATACAGCAGATATGTGTGATAGTACTGGAGCTAGTACTGATAGTGTTGCAGGGGACACTTCTACTGCTCAGATTCTCAATATCACTCGAGAGCTTCTTAACCACACCAAAGTTACTCAAACTCTATTGATGTACACTCAAGGGAACTCTGAGCTGCTTAGCATTCTTGCCAATAGCACAAACATGCACACTGATATTCTTCAAGGGCTCAACAAAAATATTAGTCAAGTCTCACAGCAGTTGGGAAGTACAGAGGCTAAAGTTGATGATATGAGATCAGTGGTTGATGAGCACCTGGTACACACACTCAATGTGTCTGATGTTTTGGATCAAGTACTTCAGACAACAGGACAGTCTGCTCAAAGGCTCGTAAACATTGTTAGTACTCTCTCTAATATCAAGGACACAGCTACCTCTGCTGCTGGAGTAACTGATGATATACTAGTCATAGTTGAAGAACTGCTACAGTTACAGAATGTCTCTTCACTCTTCAATTCCTTGACACCAGTCTCTTGTAAAGATGTCAAGGTAGTCCTACCTAACAGTCCTTCTGGTTGGTATAATCTTAACAATCAAAACACTTACTGTAATATGGAGGAGCTGTGTAGTTCAGGAGGAGGATGGACAAGACTAGCATATCTGGATATGTCTGATGCTACACAGAACTGTCCTTCTGGGTTTAACACATACAACTCAGGAGGAGTTAGAGCTTGTGGTAGACATACAAGTGGTGCTGGCTGTGCTTCTGTTACATACCCATCTAATGGTATCAGTTATTCTCAAGTGTGTGGTAGAGTTACAGGATATCAATATTATTCAACAGATGCATTTTATGGACCAAGTGACATCAATTCTTATTACGTTGATGGTGTTAGTATCACTCGTGGGTCTCCTCGTCAACATGTCTGGACACTAGCAAACGGCATCACTGATACTTATAACAATAATCCTAGCATTATATGTCCATGTGCAACAGGGAGCTCCCAGACTGTCCCATCTTTTGTGGGAAGCCATTACTTCTGTGAGTCTGGTAATCATGCTTCTGGTTGGCTTTCTACACTCTACACATCTGATCCACTCTGGGATGGCCAAGGTTGTGGAGTACTCGAAGCTTCTTGTTGTTCAGCTCCTGGTATCCCATGGTTTCACAGAGACTATGGTAACACTACCACTACTGACTATATTGAGTTGAGGGTGTGCAGTGATCAGGAAAATGCTAATGAAGACAGTCCTGTTGGCTTTTATGAGATTTATGTCAAATGATTTGACTGATGTTTCAAGCTCCTATTATGATTATTACTTGCATGCTTTCAACTAACATTCTTTTTTGCTATAACACTATATATTTGCTATTAGCAAGTACTTGCTATCATTATTATGTATCTGCTATTTTCCATTGTTATATAGAAGACTGTATCTTAATAATTAATAGTTGCAAGGTACCATATACGCCATATATTTTGTGGGTATAAAATTCGCAATTTAGCTTCATTTTTTTGTATTTGTGAATAAAAACTTTGCATTACCACATCTACTATACAATCAGCAAGCTAATTTGTGGATTTTAATTTTTCTAAAACACAAAAATTACGAAATTTAATCCCTGCAAAATATATGGCAAGGCGTATACTGTATTGTTGGGGCAAAAGATTTTAACTTTTAATTTTTAAAATTTCTGGCCATTAAGCGGAGTAGGTAACTTGAATGACCTTCATTTTGTTCTTGTCAATTGTAATTCTTTTCCAATTGTAATGATGCTGCACAGCATTAATTGTTATTGACTGCTTAAGCATCATCATACAGAAAATAATTTAGAAATCACCAGAAGTCCCATTAATGACTCATTCTATACAATACAAGATAAAATCACATTATTACTTACATACAACAGCAAATAAGCAATTTGTGGCATTCTAAATTAGTAGTTGTGGTCTTGACTAGCACCGAGAATATACTAGAAAATCATTTTCTGTTATACAAACTACAAGAGATTCTGCACAAAAGCTCATTAACATTGTCAATACTTTAGTTGCATATTTTTCTGTTTATTTTAACACATGCACCACACATGTCTAACAGTTATGCTATAGACAATATCTAGAAGGTATTCATAAGTAGATATAAGTTCTAGTTGCAAGTGATGAATCTCATTACAAGTTACACCTCTATTGGTTGCTGACCAGTACAAAGAAGACTATACCTCTATTTACAGTGATGGAGGTTGAGAGCAACAAGTACTCTTATGATGTTCAAGAGGCTGAGGACGAATATGACAATGTTCCCAAAAGACCAATATGCAATCCAGTACAGATAGAGATACACGATACTATCCCAGCTGGAAAGAAAAGCCTCTTTTTTCTCCTTGGAGTACAAGTCTTCATAATCCTTATCCTTATAATACTACTGGGTATCAATGGTGTTACATTATCACAGTTGAATACAGTAGATATGTGTGATAATACTGGAGCTGGTATTGGAGTTAGCACTGGAGCTAGTACTGATGGTGGTCAAGGAGACACTTCTACTGCTCAGATTCTCAATATTACTCGAGAGCTTCTTAACCAAAGAAACAATGATACCAAAGTTACTGAAGCTCTGTTCCAAGTTCTTGCTAGTAACATGACTCAAGTGTTGCAACAATTGATGTACACCCAAGGGAACTCTGAGCTGCTTAACATGCACACTGGTATTCTTCAAGGGCTCAACAAAAATATCAGTCAAGTCTCACAGCAGTTGGGAAGTACAGAAGCTAAAGTTGATAGTATGAGATCAGTGGTTGATGAGCACCTGGTACACACACTCAATGTGTCTGATGTATTGAATCAAGTACAGCAGACAACAGAACAGTCTGCTCAAAGACTCATTAACATTGTCAATACTCTCTCTAATCTACAAGACACCAGTACCTCTACTGCTGGAGTTGCTACTGATATACTAGTTATAGTTGAAGACCTGCTACAGTTACAGAATGTCTCTTCACTCTTCAATTCTATAACACCAGTCTCTTGTAAAGATGTCAAGGCAGTCCTACCTAACAGTCCTTCTGGTTGGTATAATCTTAACAATCAAAACACTTACTGTAATATGGAGGAGCTGTGTGGTTCAGGAGGAGGATGGACGAGACTAGCATATCTGGATATGACTGATGCTACACAGAACTGTCCTTCTGGGTTTAGACTTTACCAGTCAGGAGGAGTTAGAGCTTGTGGTAGGACTAACAGTAGTGGTGGTAGCTGTGTATCAGTTCAGTTCCCATCTAATGGTATCAGTTATTCTCAGATATGTGGTAGAGTAACAGGATATCAATATCACTCACCTGATGCATTTCTTGGAATAAGTGACATTAATTCTTGGTATGTTGATGGTGTTAGTATCACTCATGGGTCTCCTCGTCAACATGTCTGGACACTAGCAAACAGCATCACTGATGCTAATAACAATAATCCTCATAGTACATGTCCATGTTCAACAGGGAGCTCACAGACTGTCCCATCTTTTGTAGGAAACGATTATTTTTGTGAGTCTGGTAATCAAAATCCTAACTGGACTTATACTCTCTACACGTCTGATCCACTATGGGATGGTCAAGGTTGTGGTTCTCTTGAATCACTTTGTTGTAATGCTCCTGGTATCCCATGGTTTCACAGAGACTATGGTAACACTACCACTACTGACTATATTGAGTTGAGGGTCTGTGGAGATGAAGCAAGCAATAATGAAGACAGTCCTGTTGGCTTTTATGAGATTTATGTTGAATAAATGATTCTTATTTTTTATGATTATAGTTTTTCTTGTGTGCTTTTTACTAACTTTCTTTTTATTATAACACTATTTGCTATTATTTATAGAAGTCAAGAATGCAGTGTATTTAGCTGATGTCATGAAATAGAAAGTCATTTTAATAATTTCAAACAGTCACCAGATAATATTATATAAATTGTATCATTCACAAGTTTCTGTATCAGTTAGTTCTTAAAGGAAGGAAGAGAGATGGAGATGGATGGTAACTTCACTTTATCTGATAGAAGAGATGGCATAGCATTAGCAGTAGTCCTTACAATTGAAGTCATACTAGCAGCAATTGCTAATGGAGCTGTACTATGCATCACTATCTATCAAAGGAAGCACTGGAGACAGCCTTCAACAATATTCTTTACTTCTCTGATACTGGCACACCTTGTTATGATGCTACTGTATCTTCCATTCACCATCACTGCATTAGCTGCTGGAGAGTGGAGTATTGGTCGTACTAATGAGCAGAGAATAGGGACTTGCTTCTTTTCCATATTCCTTTATATGTATACTGTTCTCATTGTATTGATGACACTGGCTGCTATATCATTTGATCGATTTCTCTTTATTGTCAAACCGCATCTTCACAAACGATTCATGAAACTTTGGGTCGCAGTATCTCTTGCGGTTGCTATCTGGATACTGTCTGCTGTATTGAATGTCATACCATTGTTTAGTTTTGAAGAGTTGACTTACGATGATACATTTGGGCCTTGTTATCCTTCTTATCTAAACACACTGGCCTATGCCCTCTTCATTGGCATCATATTCGTAACAATGATTGCAATAATTGTTGTAACTTGCACCTGGACGTTTTGCTTTACTCGTAAATTCCTAAAGGACCAGTCAATCATAGCAGGAGAGAGTGTCTACTCTGCAAAAAAGAGGAGACTTTTTGGCATATTTGGTTCAATGCTGTTAGTGTATATCATTTGTTTTACACCTGGAGGAATCCATTTAGCTCTCATACCAATTATCGATACTCCATTTGGTCTTTATGCTACAAGTTTAGCAAGTTATCATTTCATCACAATAGCCAATCCTCTTGTCCAGTCGTATTTTAGGCCGGAGATTAAGAGTGTTTTTGTATCTGCTTATCACAAGATGTCACCAGTTTCAGTTACTGTAAATGACACTGTTTGATCTTACTAATAGAAGATAATTATCTTTATATGATTATTCTTATTTTTAGGTTTTAAAAAAATCTTTTTTCTAACTCTCTAAATATTTACCTTTGCCGTTTTTCATCATTTGATTGCTGTATTTCAATATAATCATAATTAATATAATACTGAAGTTATAACAGATCGTGCATGCTGTTTATACTTCAGTTAAGGTGTTAAGAAAACACTGCAAGGTGTTAAGGTGTTATTCATATCTTTCCTGTGAATGACGTTGGCGATTTATAATGATATTCATTGGGATACCGTAAATGAAAAATTAATTAAAATTTTTTCAGGCCGCCATTGTGGAGGTATACTATCATTAGCTACAATGGACCGACAGGCTAAAAACTGTCAATTCTACTTCTCCACGTCACTCCAGTGGCTCTAAACAGTTGCAGACTACCGAAAAGAAATATAAAGGTTGCAATTTTTTTACTTTTGAGGCTATAACTGCTTGCTCTTCTTACAAAACGGCAGAAAGTGTGTCGAGCTCCATTGGAAACAGTGCAGCAATACCTCCACAATGGCGGCCTGAAGAATTTTCTATTTACGGTATCCCAATGAATATCATTATAAATCGGAACCGTCATTCACAGGAAAGATATGAATAATACATACAATGTCTTTTGGGTGAAGATTTAGATTTTTATTCTTAAAATTTTAGGCCATTAAAAGTATATAGCTTAAAATCAGCTTCATTCTTATTGACAGCTTAAACATCATTATACAAAAAATAAAAAAATCACCAGAAATCACATTTATAAGGATTTATTGTTTACAAGATAAAATCACAGCCTTGGGGGATTATTATTAATTACATGCAACAGCAAATCAGCAAAATCTATTACTTTAAAAGTTCCATTATATATATAATAATATATAATATAGTCATTTTATATAAACTTCTTATGAATGTCACAATTTACTGACATAAAACCTTTAGCTCAATGTCTATGCACTCCATGCAACCGAAATACAACCGAACATGATATTCATTAAATCCTGGTTTAGTGGGTGTGGCCTTGACTAGCACTGAGACACGCCCCAAAAGTACACTCTCCTTAAAAGTGGATGCGGCCCATTTCTGAGATCGTGGAAAGATACTATAAATAGTATCGCCTTTTATGGACATTATTGAAACAGGAGATTGCGTGGGAGGGGTTGTTACGCAGACCACGCCCACAAGAGTCTGCCACGCCTCTCCTTTGACGTTCAATCTCCAAGAGACCGTGTTTCCTAATTTTACCACGGTCTGATGAGACGGCTCAATAGTGATGCTAATTGGACCGTACAAGGTATGATTTAGACTTGGGGCGTCCATTGATAAAAGATCGGACGGACTTACAGGAACATCTTTGTTTATCTGACGGTGTTTGTGTCGTAGGGTCCATTCCTGTAGCTCTTCAGGACTGTGGGCTTTACAGCAGCGGTATCTACCAGGACAGTTTGACCTGTTGAGGAGAAGGATTGTGATGATCAAGTACAATTAATGTGTCATGTCACTCATGTGAGATATGAGAGTGCATTTCCTAATACATATTGATGTACTTATGATATGTAGAAAGTTTGAGCTGATTCCGACAAAAATTTTTTTAGTTACAGCCATTTAAAAAAATTGGCCAATTTTTGAAAAATACCCAAGGCTATAGTATAGCCCATGGTTTTTTCCGAAAAATGGCTCCGAAATCACCCCAAATTTTTATTACATTTTCTGATACATATTGATGTCCTTATGCTCTGTAAAAAGTTTGAGGTGATCCCGACAAAAATTTTTCGAGTTACAGCCATTTAAAAAAATCGGTCAATTTTTGAAAAATACCCAAGGCTATAGCCCATGGTTTTTTCCGAAAAATGGCTCCGAAATCACCCCAAATTTTTATTACATTTTCTGATACATATTGATGTCCTTATGCTCTGTAAAAAGTTTGAGGTGATCCCGACAAAAATTTTTCGAGTTACAGCCATTTAAAAAAATCGGCCAATTTTTGAAAAATACCCAAGGCTATAGCCCATGGTTTTTTTTTCCAAAAAATGGCTCCAAAATCACCTCAAATTTTTATTACATTTTCTGATACATATTGATGTCCTTATGCTGTATAGAAAGCTTGAGCTGATTCCGACAAAAATTTTTTGAGTTATGGCCATTTAAAAAAATTGGCCAATTTTTTAAAAATTCCCTGTACTATAGCCCATGATTTTTTCAAAAAAATGGCTCCGAAATTACCCCCAATTTTTATTACATTTTCTGATACACATTGATGTCTTTATGCTGTGTAGAAAGTTTGAGCTGATTCCGACAAAAATTTTTTGAGTTACGGCCATTTTAAAAAATCAGCCAATTTTTGAAAAATACCCAAGGCTATAGCCCATGGTTTTTTCCAAAAAATGGCTCTGAAATCACCCCCAATTTTTATTACATTTTCTGATACATATTGATGTCTTTATGCTCTGTAGAAAGTTTGAGCTGATTCAGACAAAAATTTTTCAAGTTACGGCTATTTAAAAAAATCGGTCAATTTTTGAAATATACCCAAGGCTATAGCCCATGGTTTTTTCCAAAAAATGGCTCCGAAATCACCTCCAATTTTTATTACATTTTCTGATGCATATTGATGTCTTTATGCTCTGTAGAAAGTTTGAGCTGATTCAGACAAAAATTTTTCGAGTTACAGCCATTTAAAAAAAATCAGCCAATTTTTGAAATATACCCAAGGCTATAGCCCATGGTTTTTTCCAAAAAATGGCTCCGAAATCACCTCCAATTTTTATTACATTTTCTGATGCATATTGATGTCCTTATGCTGTGTAAAAAGTTTGAGCTGATTTCGACAAAAATTTTTCGAGTTACAGCCATTTAAAAAAAATCAGCCAATTTTTGAAAAATACCCAATATAGCCCATGGTTTTTCAAAAAAATGGCTCCAAATTTTTATTAAATTTAAAAAATATTCTTATGTACTACATGTACATGTACATACAGATCTAAAATAAAATATTCTTTTGTTGATTTACTTTTTATTGCATATCTTAAAATCCTCTGGCGTCTGATCGGGAGGAGGTGGGAAAAACCTCCAAAGTTTAGACAACTTTGTATCCTGCCTTACAATCTCCAGGTGCCTCTCCTTCATGCAGTGTTCCGCAATCTCCCTTGGAGTATCAAATTCTCGATAGCACAAAAAACATGTGAAATCTCTCTCCCCATCATCATCTTGATCATCTAACCCATTCCCTCCATTTTGTTGAATCTTAGTATCATTATCATCATCATTTAACATAAGCTGATCTGTTAGTCCTAAAACATCCTGTAAAGGTAATACAGCAGATTGTGATACAAGAGGCTGTTCCAATATTGGTTGAAACCCTGAGCTACCAGCAATAGAAGGATTTGAAGCCATAGAAAGAGAGGTCAGAGGCAGTGGTGGAACAATATCAGTGAATGGCATGTTTAATGGAGCTAGAGGTAGTGACCCTATTGGATTAGGCAGTACAGTGCTAGTTGAGGGTGTCATTCCAAATGGTGTTAGGCCAGCACTCAATGAACTGTTATTAAACAGAAGTGAATGTGTGTTAGTTATATCGCCAGTTACTAGTGGGGGCTGTCCAATTTGTGTGGGCGGCATACCAAAGGAGAGTGGATTGTAGCTTGACTGTGGAAAGTTACTGTTAATATTAGTTGATGAAGGATTGTTCTGTTTACTGGTATCTTGTTTTATAGCCAACTCAGGCTGTGAGAGGACCTGTAGAAGAAAAAATAATATGATTACCCATAAAAATTAACAACTTAAGCATATGTACATGTACGTCGTAAAATAAGGTCCCTAAAATATTTATATCATTGCATGTACATACACATGTACATGTTGCATAAAAATTTTAAGCTGATTCCAATCAAAATTGGATATAAAGCTCCTCAAAATTTACCAATGTTCATGAACATAGCATTGTGTAGTTGGTAATTTTGAAGGCGAGAAGTTGTGTTAGCGATGATTTTGTGAAACTAAAAGCTAAAATTGTCAACTTAAAACTTCCCAGCCATCATAATACATATATAAAAAATAAATAAAAAATGCATCCTCAGCTTTCATTAAGAACTCACTCCAGTTCTTCCGGTACTTCCAACTGACCGAGTACCCACTGGTCTCTGATCCATGAGTGCCGGGAAAAACTTACTAGCCTCGTCATAAGTGAGACTCTCGCCTCCGCTCGGGAGGGACATGTTATAGTCCCCGCCCACTCCGCTAGTCTGACCAATCAGATCAGAGCTTGAAGAGGAAAGGTCTTCGTGAAAACGAAGCGTATTTGATTCATTTATTCCCGAGAGAGTGGGAAGGTCTGGCTGAGATTTTTTTCGTAGCGTCTGTAGACCGTCCACTAAATTAGAAACGGCGGATTCTAGATTTGGGGATTTGCTTTTGGATTTTCTTGAAGCAGAAGTGGCAGAAGTTGGAGGAGGTGAAGGAGAGGATCCATTGTACTGTCTGTGACTGGGAGAGGATATTCTTAATTGTTGGAGGAGGAGTCGTTGTTCCTCATATAACTCTTTAATGTGGCTTTGGTAGGATTGAAAATCCTTCCCTAGGAATTACAATAATGAGTTAATATAACATCCTGTACTGTATGATATGCAAGTGTGTGTCAAACTTTCTACATAGCATAAGTACATCAATATGTATCAGTAAATGTAATAAAAATTTGGGATGATTTCGGAGCCATTTTAAGGAAAAAGCAATGGACTATAGCCTTGGGTATTTTTTAAAATTTGCCACTTCTTTAAATACAGTACTATTACAACTCAAAAGTTTTAGTCACAATCAGCTCAAACTTTCTACAAACATGTACATGTACATTCACACATACATGTAGCATAAAGACATAAATATTATTTATTAGTTAGACTGTTATTTCTACAAGCAAATCCCCAAAAGTATAATCTTCCCATTTGCTTGGCAGTAAATCCAAATCTTAATCAATAATAATAAACAGTCTCTACCTGTTTCTCTCTCCACAGTCCATATGACCATCTCCTCCACTGCATGAGGGAACCAGGGGTTGTTCTCCCTTGTCTTTTCAAAGCAGCCACGATGATCAGCCATACTGCACACCTACAAAATAATAATAATAATAATAATAATAATAATAATAATAATAATAATAATAATAATAATAATAATAATAATAATAATAATACATGTACAATACTTTTTATAATGAACTATACAATGGGCACTTTGAAAGTGTCTCTGTTATACAGAGGTGTCCTTTATGTGGAGGTTATTTTATACAGTAAGGAATGTAATTGGTACACTAGGTGCTGTCCATTAAATGGAGGTGTACGCTATAGAGAGTGTCCATTAAAAGAGGCTATAATTATAAAACACTATCTGTACTAATGGCCATAATACTTAATGGTCACTGGCAGTCTTGTACTACTGTACTAGCTACTGAATATGTGAAGAGTATAAGTTATTGAATAACTAAAATAACAAATACATGTACATTATTATTATTATTTAAATAAAAGGTGTACATGTACATGTATTATAATAATTATCAAACAGTTTTGAAAGTGAAAATGATGACAATATACAGACTAACAAGAGGAGTCCAAGAATAACAAAAACAGGACAATAAATTAATCAACAACAAACAGCAAAAACACGTACATGTACACGTACATGTACGTGTACACACGCATTACCTTAAAAGGAGATTTGCTGGTCTGCATGTGCTTAGGTACAGGTGGTATTGCAATGAATTCTCCGTAAGACGAACACAATCGACTGGACGGGATGACTCTCAACCCTCGCCACATGTGTCCTCGTTCACACGTGTGGACTTTACCACCTTCAGCCTTCAGGGTCAGTACAAGATCGAGGCCGGAGTTATAGCCACGCCCACTGAGGGAGTCAAAGAAACAGGTACGGCAGACGGTGAGACGACTCTCGTAACATTTAGAGATTGAGAACAAGAGGTCGTTAGGGATACTTGATATAGAGGTGAAAAGACACTTCTCTGGAACGTAATACTGGGGACCTGACGGAGTAGAAGAATGAGATACAGTATGTACATGTACATGCATGAAATGAGAATAGAATATTTGGTATGAGAATGAAAATGTATAGCATGAGAATAGAATTGTATAATACATGTAGTCACTAGTGTATGAGAATATAAAGGAATATGTTTTTTCAATCAAGAATACATGTACATGTACAACATGTGACAATAGACCAATACAAGTACCATTTACATGTAAAGGCACTGGTACATGTTCACGGACATACTTTCATTCTGTTCTTCTTCATTGGTTGATGAGTTGAGAGTTGAGACTATTCCATTGTCCTTTATGTATTTAGAAAAATTACCTAATAATATAAATAAAATTAATTAATAATTTACAATTTTATACATGTATGTACATGTAATATCAATTAGAATCTCTCTCTCTCCCCCCCTCTCTCCTCTATTATCTCACCATATCCTACTCCTGAGTCCTTCTCTACAGTCCAAATGACCAGTTCCTCCACAGAATGAGCACGAGTGAATCCAGCGTCGTATTTCAACTCAAAACATTTCAAGTGGTCAGATTTTGAACAATAACTGTGGCATTTATCCTATTAACAGTAATAATAATTATCATTATTATTAATAGTACTTAATAACTTTAAAACATTCTGCTGCATCAAACAAAAACCCATTAGTTCGATTGTCACGAAATCCGTGACAAGCAAAAACCCATTAGTTCCATTGTCACGTAATCAGTGACAAGCAAAAACCCATTAGTTCCATTGTCACGAAATCTGTGACAAGCAAAAAACCTGTACTAAAAACCTATTTTGGAGCAACTTCAAAAATTTGTAAAAAATCCAATTTTGATCAGAATCAGTTCAAACTTTCTACACAACATAAGTACATGTATATGTATCAGAAAATGCTATAAAAATTGAGCATTCTCTAATTTTCATTTCTGGCAAAATTTGGCCCGTGACCCTGTACTATAGTACAGGGACTTTGGCCCAATTTTGGAGCAACTTTTAAAAATCGTAAAAAAAATCCAAATTTGATCGGAATCAGCTCAAACTTGAAACACAGCATAAGAACATGTATATGTATCAGATAAAGTTATAAAAATTGAGAATTCTCTACTTTTCATTTTTGGCAAAATTGGGCCCATGACCCTGTACTATAGTACAGGAACTTTGGCCTGATTTTGATCAAAATCAACATAAAGTTTCTACACAACATACATGTACAGTACATTATGTTCATGTAAGTAATTGTGAATGAATTGGTGAGGTATTGCTATTGTCTTACTATCGGCCTGTTAGGTTTAATAAGAGGAACACTTATCGGGACATTCTTCAATCCATTGAAATTACTGCAGAGTGAGCTAGCAGGAATTACCTAATAATACACATACAATTAATGCTAATGCACATGTACATGTACATGTATTATATCATTAGAAATGTATTAATGCACATGTATTATATTAAGAATAAAAGAGAATTAATGTATAAAGTGTACACTGTACTACAGTGTAGACTATACACATGTACATGTACGTGTACAGTAGCATATCTTTTGGGTAAAGTTTAAATATATACATGTATTTGTCTTTCTGTGATAAAGGACTAAAATAACAAATAATGTTTCTATAATTATTATTTATACTATAAACATTGATACTAGTTAGGACTTTAATCAATAAACTACAAGTACTACTAAAATTAAATTGTAATATTCTTATACCTCAAATCAATAAAATACATTATATTATATTAAACTACACTACAGTATATTAAAAGTGACATATTAAATATATTCTAAATAATGCCCCCTACCTTTACTGACTTCCATGGACTTTTACAAATGAGACATATCGGCTTGTATCCTTCCCAGTCAAGAGGTTTCTTGACTTCCATCAGGCGACAATAGAAACAGAACTTACAGACATCAATAGCCTATGAATTAATAATAATAATAATAATAATAATAATAATAACAATCTCATATTATGTAAAATAATTGAGTATTATACATGTACATGTACAGTAAGGAATGTAATTGGTACACTAGGTGCTGTCCGTTAAATGGAGGCGTACGCTATAGAGAGTGTCCATTAAGAGAGGCTATACTGTACATGTACATGTATATTATAATTACTTGTATGTAGCATTTAGCAATGTCTTCAAGAAGATGGGAGGGAATATCCTTAAGTGATTGAAACTTTATCTCTACCTTCTCTGGATCCAATACACCTTTAAACAAACAAAAACATATATGTACTCTCTCTCCCTCCCTCTCTCTCTCTCTCTCTCTCTCTCTCTCTCTCTCTCTCTCTCTCTCTCTCTCTCTCTCTCTCTCTCCCTCCCCCCCCTCTCTCCCTCTCTCTCCCCCCTCTCTCTCTCTCCCCTCACCTCCAGTGCTGCTTAGATCAGGAAACTCATCCAAATCAAAACCAGAGAAGTTCCTAGCAGCTGGAGCACGTGAATAATTAGCCCTCCCTCTCCCCCTCCCTCCTTTCCTGGAGCTATATCTCCTCCACTTATCAACATCTTCTTCATCATCTTCATCATCATTCCCTCCTCCTCCTCCCCCTCCCTCTCCTCCTGTTACTTGTCTCCTATTGCTTGTTGATATTATGTGTGGATGATGCTTCTCTATGTATTTCCTGAAAGTCATATCTAAACAACAACAACAACAACAACAACAATAACAACAATAACAACAATACTATTATATGTGTATACTAATTATTGAATAAATGTAGATTTACATACATTGTACAGGCTACACATAATAATAATAAAACATGTACATATAACATTTTGTTTAATGTCTAATGTACATGTATGGATAATATTATCAAGAGTAAATAATACCTACAGAGAGTATCCAACAGCCCTATTGAGGCCTGCTGCTAGTGTGTGGATTCCTAGGAACTAGGAAGTCACGTTCCGCTGCACTTCCGCATACTTCAGTAGTTTTCAATCAATGTTTATACAGATGTGTTGTTATAACAACATTATCATTGATAATATACAGAAGTATCCTGAACGTGACTTCCTAGAAATCCACACACTTCCAGTAGCTGAGATGGGGCCGTTGGATACTCTCTGTAGGTATTATTTACTCTTGATAGTATTAGGAATACATGTGAGTGTATGCATAAAATAATAGTAGTACAAATACATGTACAAGTGTATATTACTAACTGTATTCTCTCTCTATGGTCCATATCACCAGTTCCTCAATCGTGTGAGCAAACCAAATATCAGAATTAGCTGATCTCTCGTAGCAGACGTAATGATCATCCTTCTGGCACATGCTCAGAGGTTTGTCAGAATTCCTTCGAGCCCAGGACGGCATCCCGGGTATTGGGATCTCAGAAAAGTCCCCAAAATTCTCGCAAAGTCGACTTGAAGGCATCAGCCAGAGGCTTTCACAAAATTTCTTACATTCCTGGCAAAATTTGAACCCACCCTCGTACGTAATGGGGCAGGAAAGGTTTCGCCTGTAGTAGCAGACTTTACAGACGAGGTTTCCACGAAGGTAGCAGGTCATGACATCTTCGAGTAACTCAGGGAGTATCTTAGAACTGCTGTGGAACACTGTTGTATGAGGACGAAACCCTATTGATTAGGAATAGATTAGTGTTGATAATTATTGTGGAGGTGAGGGGAGAGAGAGAGAGAGAGAGATAGAGAGAGAGAGAGGAGAGAGGTGTTTATTTATAAATTGTAACAGAAGTACACTCGTAATGATTCAAGTAGGTACAGTTAACAGTTCTAAGACTATTAGAACTGTTAACTGTACCTTAACACAAACTGTATCACAAACCATTAGATACAACATATGTACATATATTGATCAACTGGATTAGCTTGTAACAGCAATATGTAAGGGAACAGATATCACTTACATGTTACATGCATATACTACATGTACATAAATGATAGTTGGCATCTAATTAAATGCGTGGGTCGATTTCCCCTCCTATAGCACACACTTACTTTTCCTTATCCTTGAAGATTGAGACATTTTGTTTATCATAAAAATAATAATAATCTATCCTTTCCTGCGGATTAAATAAATCATAAACTGTCACGTAATACAGGAATGAATCTTACAAGATTAACACGAGACCTTAGAAGCTTACCTTATGTTGTGTTTAACCTTTTTTAAAGAAGCTTAAAGTGAAGGCATGACTGTCAAGACAGCAATACTTTCTCTCTATAAATCATGTGATATTGGCCACGGCTCTATATTCATAAGCTGACTCAGAAAAAAACAAGCCGACTTGCAAAAGAGAGCGACTATGCGGCGGCCATGTCAGCAGCCACGCCCTTACCATTGTTTTAGTTAATTAATGACTATGAATAATTAACTAATGTTAATGCATTATTTTACCGGAAATGAAACTGTAAACCGGAAGTGTATTGCTCATTTCCGGTAGAATTTTGATTTCCGGTTAATTTATGGCTTGAAATCACTTTATTTTTTGTGCAAGCTAACATTAATTCTACTAAATTTGAACCAACAAATTAATATTTTAAATTTAAATTTTGAAGCCACACTATAAAGTATGGTACATGCACTGACAAATAAATAAAATTATCTTTAGACATCAATTAAGTGTGTGATTCAAGTCAGTCTCAGTGTATGATATAACATCAGAGATCATGTTCCATTTCTTAATAGTTTAACATGCATCTCATCACTGTATACACTAGCTGATAATGAATCACACTATTGATGGATATTTTAGTAGCCTAAAAGCAATTCATTTGACTCATTACAATAAAGCTTTGTTCTTCTCCTCCAGGTAAGGAGCAACTTCAGCCCACACATCTTGAGGATCAGGACGATTTTTAGCTCCTCGCCAGTTGATGGAGGCTGGCTGTACTGCCCAAGCATATGCCACATCACCGTCACCTGTTATAAACATGATAGCTGGCTGTGTAACCCCCTTCTTGTATGGAACAAACCACTTGAAGTTCTTGTAGAACTCATTCTTTGACTGCTCTCCTCCATTGATGACCACTTGGAGTAGTTCCTGCTCTGAGAGGTAGTTACGAAGTTTATGTTCAGGATCAGAGAAGATTGGGAATGGAGCTTTGGTTTTAGCTATGGTCTCATCAACCTAAGGATTTGAAAATGAGAGAGGAATCAGTATAGTTTACAATTAGTGCTTTTGAGTAGGTTTTTAGGCCAAATCATACTAGATCTATTTAAAAGATGTTGTATGTATACACTGGCAAATTGAGGTATCGTATTTTTGGTATCATCGAAGTCTAAACATTCATTATTAAATAAACTCTAAACCATGAACAAAAACAATGAATGGACAAAAGGATACCTTCTCCACTGGCTCTGCACACACCCCTACCACTTGTATCCCTCCTGTCTGTAGGCTCTCATTATAAAGCTCAATAGCTTTACTAATGAACCCCCTACATGGAGGTCACCAACCACCATGGTAATAGAAGAGAAAGATCCCTCTATGCTTGGGATATTCAGCCTTGAACCACTCAACAATATCTGCTGGAGTGGAAGACATTTTTGACTTCTTCTGAAAGATAGGCCTGCCTCTCTAATATTTCATTAGGACTATACAAACTATGATATTCATTGTACATTGTGTCTGCTTGTTCAATAGATGATTTGCAAAGATTTCTTTCAATTGTAAAATTAAATACAAGTATTGTGAATGTGATTTATAATGTCTCTCTCAGTGCATGATACCATCAGAGAGTGTGCTCCATGATTCAACAATGGTTTAACACACTTCCCATCACACTACAACTGATAAAGACCCAAATACACACTACACATACCAGCAAGAGTACTCTTGATACTAGCTACTACAATGACTGTCACTACACTAAACTAACACACACACACACACAATGAAATTAATGGGGAAATGTTTAAGCTACTAGGGATGGCAAGTTTAGGTTTTATTCTTTTCCTCCAGGTATGGAGCAACTTCAGCCCACACATCTTGAGGATCAGGACGAGTCTTAGCTCCCCACCAGTTGATGGAGGCTGGCTGTACTGCCCAAGCATAAGCAACATCACCATCACGTGTTATAAACATGATGGCAGCTTGCGCCACTCCATTTTTATATGGAGCAAACCACTTGAAGTTCTTGTAGAACTCGTTCTTTGACTGCTCTCCTCCGCTGATGACCACTTGGAGTAGCTCCTGCTCTGAGAGGTAGTTACGAAGTTTGTGTTCAGGATCAGAGAAGATTGGGAATGGAGCTTTGGTTTTAGCTATGACCTCGTCAACCTAAGGAATGTATGCAATGAAGATGATACAATAGATTAGCGCAGTACAGATTTTTAAGAAGTGACACAAATCAGATACGATCAGTTCAAACTACTTCTGTGCATTTATAAAAATAATTTTATCTGCTTATCGTGAATGATGCAACAATAAAAGATGTCAATTAGAAGCTAACATGGATCTATGCATAGATACTATCTATGATCTATGGTTCACCTTATCCGCAGGCTGTGCACATACCCCCACCGCTTGTATGTCCCCCGCCTTCTTCAGCTCATCTTGAAGCCCAACGAGCTTCTCGATGAACTTGACACAGAAAGGTCACCAGTCCCCGCGGTAGTAGAAGAGAAAGGTCCCTCTGTGCTTGGGATACTCGGCCTTGAACCACTCAACAATATCTTTTGGTGTAGCAGACATTTTTCTACTCAGCAAACAGCCCTGGAAGTGGAAATATTTTTGTTGTGGCTAGACTAATGAAATTCATTAAGTGCAACCTATGACAGCTACAAAAATAGCAATAAAGCTTCATCTACAGGCTACTTTTTATTACTTTTTATTTACAAAAAATTAATAAGCATTAATCCACATTAACTATTACTATTGAAAGTAAATTTAAAACATGCGGTTACAATTGTCCTGGTGAAGCTAATTGTGGTAGCAGTAATATTAACAAACAGACAATGAGTAGCAGGAAAATCAAACAAAGCACTATAGTCTGGAGTATCGAGAAAGCAAGCAGTGCCCTCAGCTTTGGCAACTTGTTCTCAACCACAATTGGTTGGATATCTCTTTCTTTGTTTTGTGGTGCTGGAGTCTGCTCCTCTTCCTTCCTGTGAAAGTTCCTTTGCTCCAACTCATGGACATTCCCTTGACTCAAACTTCTTCCTTGATGTATCAGTGACATATAATGTGGGGTTGGCTCGGCAAAAGGATAATCATAAGTATTTCTTCTTGCAGTTGTCATGATCCCTTTTGATACTGCTTCTTTACTTCTTGCAATACAGACTGTACTGAACTGAAAGCAGATAACAACTTAGGATTATAAATGATAAAAGCATTCTTTCAATATGATGTGTTTTAAAAATATACTGTGTTCTGTTTATGAAACAATTACATGACTTTGCAAGTATGTTTATATCAACATTTTCACTAGCCGTAACTACAAAAATTTTAAAATACAAAATAACAAAAGGAAGAGCACTACAATAATAACAATGACAGTGAGATAATTGCAACAGATTATGCTCAGCTATAAGTGGAAATAAAAAAGTAACAAAAAGCAAGTCTAAAGGCAGTCTATTAAGGCAAACACAAAATTAACACAAATTGTATATCAATCTATTTGACATAAATGTCATAAAAGGTAACAGGACTGTCCTCATTAGCACTTTCCTGATTAGCACAGACTCTCAACTCAATATAGTCAGTAGTGGTATTGCTACCATAGTCTCTGTGAAACCATGGGATACCAGGAACATTACAACAAGGTGATTCAAAATAACCACAACCTTCACCATCCCAGAGTGGATCAAATGTGTAGAGTGCAGAAACCCAACCAGAAGCTTGATTACCAGATTCACAGAAATAATGGTTTCCTACAAAAGATGGGACAGTCTGGGAGCTCCCTGTTGCACATGGACATATCCATTGTGGATTATTGTTATAAGTGTCAGTTAAACCATTTGCTAGTGTCCAGACATGTTGACGAGGAGACCCACGAGTGATACTAACACCATCAACATAATATGAGTTAATATTATTTGGTCCTTCAAAAGCATTTGTTGAATGATATTGATATCCTGTTACTCTACCACATATCTGAGAATAACTGATACCATTAGATGGGAACTGAACTGATACACAGCCAGCACCACTGGTATTCCTACCACAAGCTCTAACTCCTCCTGACTGGTACAGTCTAAACCCAGAAAGACAGTTTTGTGTAGCATCAGCCATATCCAGATATGCTAGTCTTGTCCATCCTCCTCCTGAACCACACAGTAACCCCATATTACAGTAAGCAGTATAAGTAGTCGATCCATTAGTTGATGCTAATACATAATAACCAGATGGACTGCTTGGGTATCGGCTTTTCAATTCCTTACAAGAGGTAGGTAAAGCAGTTGAGTCATTGTGTAGTACTAATAGTTCTTGTGCTATTAGTAGTATATCATCAACCACTCCAGCAGTAGAGGTACTGGTGTCTTGTAGATTAGAGAGAGTATTGACAATGTTAATGAGCTTTTGTGCAGAATTTCTTGTAGTTTGTAAGATTTGTTTATCAAGTTCAGTGAAGTTTGTATTGTTCTGAAATAGTTGAAGGGTATTTTGTGATATACCATTAGCCCATTCATTGAAGTCAGGAAAGTTCCCTGTTACATTGCTGTTAACTTTAGAGACAACACCATTAGCCCATTCATTGAAGTCGGGAAGGCTCCCTGTTACATTGCTGTTAACTTTAGAGACTATGACATTTGACCATTCAGTAAAGTTAGGGCAATCATTCTTACCAGCAGTAGTTCCAGTAATTTGGTCATGACTAGAGATACTTTTACATTCAGTTTTTGTTAAAATCAAGGCATTACCCAAAAATAATAAAAGCATTATCACCAGCAGTATGAAATTGAGACACAGTAACACTGTAAGGACAACAAATGGTTTTTTCCATGCTGACTTCTTTGATACTTTTGTAAACAGTTCTTCTGCTGGTTGAGTAGATCTATAGTCATCTTTCTTTATATTAGTTTTAATATCGACCAATTCATATAAATTTTCTTGCTGGGTTGCTATGACACCTGGTGCCATGTGTTCATATTCTTCCATTACTTGATACAACTATTGCTGGTCAGCCTGGGTTTGTACCTACTTTTATAGGCTACCAATATTGTGTATCTTCATTGTTGCGAAAATAAGCGAGAGCTCAAACAAAAATGTTTTAAACAATAACAAAAGCAATTCAGTAATGTGTAAACAAAGTTCATTACCAAGTGATGGTAGCATACCAACAGCTATATCAAATATAAATATTAATTGTATACAACCTGTATAACAATTCTATTTTGGTGAACTATTGAGATTACACCATTAGCTGATTCATTGAAGTTAGGAAGGTTCTGGTTAAGTTTATTGACAATATCACCAGACAATCCATCAGCACTAATTTGCCATGTCTAAAGGTACATGTACTACATGAGGCCGACCTCTCTTGTAAAGGTGAAGATGCTGTTGAGTTCTAGCAGCACCTCCTGGTTGCTGTGCTAAACATTCTCCATCAAAATTTTTGTTTCTTCCATCATGCATAAACAACTATTGCCAAGTAGTGTAGGCTCATTTTCATTGTATAGGAAAGCTTCAAAACAAAATATTCCAAACAATAATTGACGTATATTAGAACAAACAAAGTTAAACTATACGACTAGTATGTATCAAAACAATATCACAGCCTGAACAAACACAGGGACACTACAACCAGCCAGAAATGAATAAATGCTATTAGAGCCACTATAGGGATGCATTGATACACTATTTTGGTCATAACTTCAAAAATTTTAGTTGGAATCAGCTCAAACTTTCTACACAGCACAAGTAGATTAATGTATATCAGAAAAATTTGATGTGATTTAATAGCCATTTTTGGAAAAAGTCATGGGCTATACATGGTCTAGTACAGGGTATTTTTAGGGTATTTTTAGGGTATTTTTCAGTATTTTTTGTTTTGTGGTCCTGGAGTCTGCTCCTCTTCCTTCCTGTGAAAGTTCCTTTGCTCCAACTCATGGACATTCCCTTGACTCAAACTTCTTCCTTGATGTATCAGTGACATATAATGTGGGGTTGGCTCAACAAAAGGATAATCATAAGTATTTCTTCTTGTAGTTGTCATGATCCCTTTTGATACTTCTTTACTTCTCGCAATACAGACTGTACTGAACTGAAAGCAGATAACAACTTAAATAAAAGAATTCTTTAATTATGATGTGTTTTTAAAATATACTGCGTTCTGTTTATGGAACAACTGCATGACTTTGCAGTTTGCTTGCATTAACATTTTCAGCCGGAACAAAGTGGAGATAACATATTTTGAACAAAATAAAAAAGGTGAACTTTGAAACAAAACTACTCTAAACAAAATGAATGAGAAAACACAAGACACCCTGCTATTGTTATGAATAAAATAAAAATTGAATAAACAAACACTTAAGAACAAACAGAAGTTAAACTAAGAAACAACACTTTGGCAGCATACACAAACATGATTTGAAAAGGTACATAAAGCATTCGTTTTAATAGGTAACACAGAAACACACGTAAAATTTTCACACTTTGCTAGGTAAGCTAAAATACAACACATAAACTTCATTATTTGACATAAATCTCATAAAAACTAAGAGGACTGTCTTCGTTATCAAAATCTCCACAGACCCTCAACTCAATATAGTCGTTAGTGGTAGTGTTACCATAGTCTCTGTGAAACCATGGGATACCAGGAACATTACAACAAGGTGATTCAAGAGAACCACAACCTTGACCATCCCAGAGTGGATCAGATGAGTAGAGAATATTTGACGCACTGCTTGCAGTATTCCCTGATTCACAGAAGTAGTTAGTACCAACAAAAGACTGCACTGATACTGAACTACCGGTATTGCATGGACATGAGCTTGATGAATTACCTGATTCACTAATACCAGCAAAAAGTGTCCAGACATGTTGACGAGGAGACCCACGAGTGATACTAACACCATCAACATAATAAGAATTGAGGTTATTAATATGCGTATTAATACCATCAGTTGAACGATATTGATATCCAGTCACTCTACCACATATCTGAGAATAACTGATACCATTAGATGGGAACTGAACTGATACACAGCCTACCGGTATACTTGACAGTGATCTGCCACAAGCTCTAACACTTCCTGACTGATAGAGTTCCAAAGCAGAAGGACAGTTCTGTGTAGCATCAGTCATATCCAGATATGCTAGTCTTGTCCATCCTCCTCCTGAACCACACAGTGCCCCCATATTGCAGTAAGTGCTGTAATTACTAGCTCCATTATTTGACGTTAGTATGTAATGACCTGATGGACTGTGGGGTATTTGACTGAGTATTTCCTCACAGGACATTGGAGGAACAAGTTGAGAATACACTTGTTGTATGAATAGTAATGTATTAACAGCTATTCCAGCAGTAGAGGCACTGGTGTCTTGTAGATTAGAGAGAGTATTGACAATGTTAATGAGCTTTTGTGCAGAATCTCTTGTAGTTTGTAAGATTTGTTTATCAAGTTCAGTGAAGTTGGTATTGTTCTGAAATAGTTGAAGGGTATTTTGTGATACACCATTAGCCCATTCATTGAAGTCAGGAAGGCTCCCTGTTACATTGCTGTTAACTTTAGAGACAACACCATTAGCCCATTCATTGAAGTCGGGAAGGCTCCCTGTTACATTGCTGTTAACTTTAG